TAGCATTACTATTCAGCTATAAATAAGATAATAATAAGACAAAAGATAAGCATTTACAAGATGGAATAAGTTTGAGAGAATTATATGCAGTAAAGCAAGTCAGAATGATAAAAACAAATACTGAACATATACATAGCAAACAATTTCATAAAGTAAAATGCTTCACATAAACTGGTGGACATTAAAAAACACTCTAAAGACTGTTAAATTAAGAGGGAGAGGTGAGTGAAAAAGCCAAAGGGATGTAAGAGATGGCAGTGGGGAGAAATAAACACAAATCATAAATAAATTTCACAAACAAAGGAAGAAAAACTGATGTATGATAGTGTTAATACTCAAGAAAGGCAACTCGGGTTGTTTCCCAATGTCTAGAGTAGGGTGGGCACAGCACTAGCAGCTTGCACTTCTTTTCACTTTCAAGGTCAGCCAATGACCTTGCTCTTGTTTTACAATGAAAAAATAAAGTGACCAGACAGATTAGCTGTCACCTTTTTATTTACATGTCTACATTTTATTTTTTTATTTTATATATTTTTTTACATTATTCTTCATTTTTGTATAATGTATGCTTTCTCATCTTGGTTATAGTCCCTGTGAAATTCTCATCACCAATTCACCTGTGTACCATCTCCATAGTCCCTAGTGCTCTTCCCACCCTTGTTTTGATCCTACTTCCCTCTTCTCCCCCTGTAGAATGTCTCTGAATTATAGTTACTTGTTGATTTTGATATTTACTTTATTATAATTATTTTTTTCCTTCTGATCCCTTATTTGGATTCTCTACATTCCTCCTGAAAGTGAAACCATCTGCTATTTTTCTTTTTCTTTCTGACTTATTTCACTGAGAATGATCCCTTCCCGCTCCATCCATGTTACTTCCAATGACATGAGTTCATCTTTTTTGATTGCTGAGTAACATTCCATTGTGTATATGCACCAAATTTTCTTTATCCAGTCATCTATTTTTGGGCATTTTGGTTGTTTCCATAGCTTACTATTGTAAATAGTGCTGCAATAAACATAGGGGTAAAGGTGTCCTTCTGAATTAATGTTTTTATGTCCTTTGGGTAGAACCCTAGGAGTGGAATTGCTGGATCATATAGAAGATCCATTTTCAGCAGTCTGAGGAACCTCCAAACAGCTTTCCATAGTGGTTGAACCAGTTTACATTGTCACCTTTTTTCAAGCTTATGTAAATTTTTGTTTGATTTGATTTGATTCTTAAATTTATTTATTTATATATATTTTAATCATTGTTCATTTTTGTACAATATTTGCTTTTTCCTCTCATGTGTAGTCTCTGTAAAATTCCCACCACCAATTCACCCGTGCACATATGTGTATATCTATATGTACGTGTGTGCATCATGTCACGATAAAACTATAATCATCACAGTGAGAATTATTTACAGTCCTGATTCCATCATCAAAGACCTTTCTGTAGTCAAAGGGTTCAAATTTCCAGTTTTAAGGGATGTTCAGGGATCTAAGGTACAGTATAGTGACTATAACAATACTGTTTGACACTTTCAAGCTGTTAAAGAGAGTAAATCTTAGCAATAAAAACAACAACAAAATAATATGTAAGTGGGGGGGGGGTCCTCCCTGGTTGTGCAAGGGGCTGAGTGCAGCACTGTAAAGCTATCCTCAGCTACTGCAGCACAAGTTCGATCCTAGGCCAGGGAGGTGACCTATATAGTGCAGCAGACCTCTCCTGTCTCGCCTGCTGTTCCCCTCAGCAGTATATTTCAGTCTGTCTGCCTGTTCTGTTCCCCACTCTCTCTCTGGTGAGTCTCTGTCTCTGGTTCCCCACTCTGTCTCTTACTACCTGCACCCTGGCCTGTATCCCAGTTCTTATATGCATAAATAAATAAATCTTTAAGAAAAACTATTATAAGGGGATATATGTGTTGACTAACCTGCTTTTGGTAATCATTTTACCATGTATAAGTATATCAAATCACCATTATGTTCCTTAAACTTACACGATACTGTATGCTGAAGAATCATCCCCTATGCCACCAGGGAGGTCCCCTACTGATTATATTTTAATGAAGCTAGAAAAGAGTGTCTAAGCTTCTGAGCCCCTACTGTGTGCCCTGTGGTGTTGGCCCAGGCTTGACCCTAGTGGGCATGAATGGTGTTGAGATAATCCATCTATCTCCAAATGGCACTGCCCTCAACCTTTAAAAATTGCCAAGAGTATATGAAGACCATATTATAGAGAATTCTTCCATTGCTTTCATCTTATGTAAATGCAGACACACATTTTCCCAGATTTGTTCGTTAATAAAATTTCAAAGATTTTATTTGTGCCCCAGCAATTATTTTGTGTGTGTGTGGTGGCAAAACTAATTTTAATTCACACACTTCTATCTAGGTAATACATGAACCTTTTGCCAACTCTTACTCCAAGTCAAACATGTATCAAACATCAAAAATAGCTCAGACCACTTTAACATTCATTTGCATATTATTTTTTGCCTCAAAGTCTGTCTAGTTCTCAATTTATTTCTGCTCATCATCTTCACATAAGACAAATTTTCACTGGCCTGCCTCCCCCCCTCCCTCTCCCATCTTTTCAGCCCATCTTTCAATAACATGTGCTAACTTTTGCTCTTGATCCTTATTTATCCATTTCTAAACTTAAATCCTTAAGCAAAGCATAGGATTTATAGCAAGATGATGAGTGAGATTCCCTTTATTTCAAATTTGTGATCTTCTTGGGGTGGGAGAAGAAGGCAGATTTTCCTGAATTCCTGTCTAGTACCCCATTGGGTGAAGGTCTGCAGACAGAATCTTTGTGAAGTGCAGAGTCACAGAGAAACCAATAATTTCTTTTATCTTAAGCATCTCTAGTTTCAAATTCTTTTCTAACTCTAAAGTCAATTTTCAAACACAAACATCTATGTTCTGCATAACACATCATGAAAGCTATCTGTCTTGAAGATAAACTGACTGAAATACACTGCTGAGGGGAGCATTGGGCGAGTCAGGAGAGGTCTGCTCCGCCATGTGGGTAGCTCCCGGGCTGGGGATTGAACTTGTGCTGCAGTGGCTGCAGATAGTTCATAGATTTCGTCTTAATCCCTTGCACCACCAGGGACACCCAAGTCAAAAGTATTTTTAACATATTTAACCTCCTGTATGGACAGGTAGGACCCAGAATGACTGAGCAACTCACCCACATGGCTTTAGATACCACCTTGAACAGTTTCCATGAGACAGGTTGGGGGAAAAAGGGAAAAATAAGTTTGGGAATTTATTTGGAAAACAGAGAAATGAATATAGATTTATGTTCTACCTTTTCCTTTGAAAAAAGATACGGAGATTAGATCTTCCTGAGAAAGGCCCTTGTACAGAGAAATTTATATATAAATATCAAAACAGCTTACTCCCAGCCTTCAGAGTCCCTTCCATGAAGTACACCTCTTGCCAAAAACATATTTTGGGTGGTGGACTTTTGCTTCTTAACATTACTTCAAGTTTGGGCCTCCTCGGTGGCGAAGCGGTTGAGCGCTGGGTTGCGAACTGCCCGCAGCCTCTGCTCCCCGGCCACCGAAAGAGGGTCCCACATGGCGCGCAGACCTCTCCTGCCGCCCGCTGCTCCCCTCAGCAGTGTACCTCGGTCCTTCTGCTTGCTCTGCTCCCGGCTCTGGCTCTGGTGAATTCTCTCACCCTCCCACACTTCTGATTGTACCCAGTGCTTGGATAAATAAATAAATAAATCTTTTAAAAAAATGGGTCCTTTTTAAAAAAAAATACTTCAAGTAATATATGGGAAAATATAAGTTTTTGAGTTGGAAAATAATGAATTTATTTAAATTGTGTCTGACTAAATTTTATAGTCTTTAAAGGTTAAGTTTTCAGGTCTATAAGAATCTTATTTTGCATTTTTCAGCATGTTTGCTTTAGTTACATAAAATTAGATGAGAAAATATATAAATAATGGAATAGTTTTTCAATAACTAGTTTTCTGTACTTCTGGAAATTCATAAAAATGCTGCATCCTGGGCCTCCCCGGTGGCGCAGCGGTTGAGCGCTGGGTTGCGAAGCTGCCTGCAGCATCTGCGACGCCGGTTCGATCCCCGGCTGCTCCCCGGCCACCAGAGGAGGGTCCCGCATGGCGTGCAGACCTCTCCTGCTGCCCGCTGCTCCGCTCAGCAGTGTACTTCGGTCCTTCTGCCTGCTCTGCTCCCCGCTCTGACTCTGGTGAATTCTCTCATCCTCCTGCGCTTCTGACTGTACCCAGAGCATGTATAAACAAAACAAACAAACAAACAAATAAATAAAACGTGCCTCTATTAAAAAAAAAAATAAAAATGCTGCATCCTTCTCATGCTACCCCTATTTTCTCTTCTATTTTAGCTATTTGTGATGTTTTTCATTTCTCAATTTTCCCTTATGAATGATAGTGATTATGAAGCCAGGTGAAATTGAAGGGCACCCAAGGACCCCAAACTGTAAAGGAAAAAAAGCATTTTACCTTTTGCAGGAGTCTGGCCATCTGCTAGCACAAAAGCAAAGAAAGCATACTCTCGGTGTACTTATATATGTGTGTACATATATTCAAAGGAATATATAATATAAGTGGAGTCTCTCCCCATCAAAACTCTGATCACCCAACACCTGTTGGTAAATGCCCAGCCAAAATATCTCAAGTTAAATTTAAAATTTCATCCTTTAAAAAAAAGCAGAGAGGCTTATTCTTTTCATTTCATTTAACATAGTCAGTGTAATTTATGTTAGATAATGAAAAGAGAGACCCATTTAAACTCTAGTTAGGATGGTTAAGAGGCACTTAAGGGTATCATAGGATTGATTCTCTAACAAACATCTTTCCTTCTATAATATCTCTATGCCGCAGGCAAGCCTGTGGAGCTGTCTTATCATTGTTCTGGTCTTGTCTGAAAATAAAACAGTATGGATATATAAAAAAAGCTAAAATTAATTGTTTGCCCTCCTACCCCCAAATCAAAATTATGAAAGGAACATGCAGTATTCACAGTTTGTTTTATTAATAATCCTGGTCTGATTTTCCTAAATAATATATGCATCTAATTATTCCATTTTAGAAGTTTCCATTTTGGTGTATTGATCATAGCTTTTACTCTTTCTCTCCCTTACACATTTTTGTTATTTCCTCCTTTTTTTGATAGCACCCAATCTGCACTAGCTTTCCACTGAATTTGGTAAATGAAGCATTGTTCATTATGGTGGCACTGTCGGGCTGGGCTACTTTGAGTACAATAAGGAAAGTGCATCATTCATTTTAGGAATGCAACGTCACAAATGTAGGTGCCTGAACGTAAACATGGGCAGCTAGTTGTCTGAGTAAGTCACCGTTGTCCATGTCTTCAAACACTGTTTCATTCACTGTGGTACTAAGTCAATCATGCTACTTTGTTAGTTCATGCTGCTTTGCTAGTCTGTAGAACAATAAATGGAATTGGGAAAGTTCTTGGGCTTAGTAGGGAAGTTCCTGTGGTCCACTCTTGAATGACATCTGTTGATTGTCTTTCATCTGAAGAATTCATTTCACCTATGTCATATGAAAAATAACAAAATATTTGAGTAAATACTTCCTTCCTTCCTTATACAATTCCACTCTTTTCGATAATCTTGCTTTTTTATTTTTTTGACAATCTAGTGGGATTTAAGTCCCATCAATGGAGAGCAAGGAGCTTCAAACTTCAAGTTCAAAAACCCTTTGAATCATAACTTCCCAGAGTCAAAAGTTATAACTTAAACCTGTGGTTACCAAACTGTGTACTGAGGCACCCCAGGATGCTATAGCAAATTCACGGAAGTGCTACAGGATATTTTAAAATTCAAGGGGAAACAGCAAGATCTATTGGTCTGGTCACCACAGAAGTGACTATCTCAAAGCAGCTCATAATTTTAACATTTTTAGGGCCTCCCCTGTGGTGCAGCGGTTGAACGCTGGGTTGCAAATCTGCCTGCAGCCTCTGCAGCACTGGTTCTATCCCCAGCCCCTGGCGAGGGTCCCATATGGTGCGTAGACCTCTCCTGCTGCACCCACTGCTCCCCTCAGCAGTGTACTTCATCGGTCTGCCTGTTCTGCATCCCACTCTGGCTCTGGTGAATTCTCTCACCCTCTGGCGCTTCTGACTGTACCCAGTGCTTGTATAAATAAATAAAAATAAATCTTTAAAAAAATTAACATTTTTATAAAGTTACATTTTCAGCAGCTGCTGTGGTATAAAGCAAATATTGAACAAAAATCTTCATGAAATAGAAAGTGAACCAGTGTCCAATGTTATTCTAAAACTTGAGAATTGTGCTGGGCATATATGCACATCCCATTAATCCATGAAAATCCTATTTTTTCTTTTAATTTATGTTTACAATCTTTTAGAATAGCTACTAAATTGATAGGACATACTCAACTGAAGCCACTTAGACCTAACTACTTCATGAATCAAACTCTTAGGTGTTTCTTTAATTTAGGGGTTCTGTGCCACAAATTTTGAGACATTAAGGGTGCTGTAATCTAAGGAAGTTTGAGAACTGGATACTCCTTTGATGACGTTAAAATATTTAACAAGGGCCTCCCTGGTGGCGCAGCAGTTGAGCACTGGGCTGCTAAGCTGCCCGCAGCCTCTGCAGTGTAGGTTTGATGCCCGGCCGCCAGCGAGGGTCCCACATGGCATGCAGACCTCTCTTGCCATGTCTGCTGCTCCCCTCAGCAGTGTACTTCATCAGTCTGCCTGTTCTGCTCCTCTCTCTGGCTCTGGTGAATTCTCTCACCCTCCTGCGCTTCTGACTATACCCAGTGGTTATATAAATAAATAAATACTTTAAAAAATAAATAAAATAAAATATTTAACAAGTACTGATATTTTAATAAATTGTTTAACCTATAGTAAAACAAAACACTATAGTTTATAACCAGTAGCCTCAACTAGGGAAAATTTTAACTTAGGTTAAAAGGTACCCCTTGACTTAAGGATAGATTTAATGAGCATTGTGCTATATTCAACTTTTCTTTTGTGATTTTTTCCTATTCATTAAGCTAAAATTAAATGAAACTTCCATTGTCCCTTCCCATTGTATTTAAGAATTTGAGAACAAAGTGCCATCTAAGGGAGAAATGATGTCTAATCAAGGGACGCAAAGCAAGGTAGGAACAAACCTTGAAGGTTATATGTACATATACAAGTGTTACAATATATGACATAGATGTGTATGATATATAGGACAATCTCAGCAGTTTTAAAAAGTCAACTATTATATAAGACACCTTTTTGGAAAATTTACCTGGGGAATTTCTACAAGTTTCTCTGGGGTGTTAGGAATACCCAGTGTCCAATATGAAAAGTAACTCTGACCCAGGGGGACCATCTGGGTAAGAAATGAGGCAGACCAGCTACCACTTTAAGAAGAGCATCTTACATATGAAAATTGGTCCTGCATTTGCCTTCATTCACTGATATCACAAGAAAGGGATTTAAAACTTACTAAATCTATTCCATTAATTCCTCATATCAACTCCTAAAAATAGAAATCATCATCCTGACTTTTACTGCTGAGTAGAGATTTAAGAATTGCCCCAAAGGGATTTAGAAATCAGATTTTCTTGATACTGATCAAAATCATTATATAATCAAACAATCAGCCTAATCTTAGGGAACCAATTATTCAGTAACTGGAAAAACAGTTCAGATAAATTGTGGATGACCTGGAATACTAAATGTAAGTTGAAGGTTTATCTTTTAAAAAGCCGAGGGTCATTAAAGATTTCTGGCCATGTAATCAAGGAAGTATTTTAGAGAAATGAAAATAAGCAACATGGAGGAGACATGTATATGGCATTCAGTAGAACTTTAATATCCTTCATTAGTGCTGCTTTCAGAGTAGTGTTGGGTGGTTCCACCCATGTGGAATGTAAAAAAATAAAGCACCTTACAAAACCCAACCAAACCCTTGGAATCTAATGCAGAACCCAGGCAATCAGAGCAGGCCAGAGTGAGTAAAAGATGGAAGCCAAATGGGCTGTGTCAGAGGATGTTTTATATCCAAAAGGGCAGGTTTATTATAAAAAGGGTGAGAAAAATAAAGGACGCTTGCATAGACACAATCAGGCAGGAAGAGCTGCCCTGAAAGGGACAGTTTTGTTAAAGGGACACCTGCATAGTCACAGGCTGGCAGCCTTGGGAGGAACTTGCCTCTGCCACTTTGCAGGGAAAGAAAGAAAGTCAGTGAAATGAAGCATCTGCATGGGCACAGGTGGGCAGGAGAGCTGCTACAGAGAGAAGGATGGCAAAGAGAAGTCCGGCATAGGCAAAGGTGGGCAAAAGGACTGCTGCCTGTGTTAGAAGATCATTGGTCCTTTGCTGATGGGTGTGGTGCGAACATTTGAAGAGCTGTGAACTTACACCCCTAAAACATTTACAGTATTGTAAAGCATTGCCTCAATGAAAGAATAATTATATATGTATATACATATGTATATCATGATTACGTTTAATTTTATTTTTAAAAAGTAGAATAAAAAATAGACACATCACCCAAAGCAGTGATAGTGAAGGCAAAGATAAACAGCTGGGACTACATCAGATTAAAGAGCTTCTGCACAGCAAAAGAGACAATAACAAAAACAAAGAGAAACCCCACCGACTGGGAGAACATTTTTGCACACAACACTAACGATAAAGGACTGATCACAAAAATCTGCAAATTGCTGATGAGACTCAACAACAACAAAGAAAATAATCCAGTCAAAAAATGGGCAGAAGAGCTAAAAAGAAACTTCTCTGAAGAAGAAATGCAAATAGCCAACAGGCATATGAAAAAATGTTCAACATCACTTGTCATCAGGGAAATGCAAATCAAAACTACCATGAGATACCATCTTACACCAGTGAGAATGGCACATATAAAAAAACTAGCAACAACAAATGTTGGCGAGGGTGTGGAGAAAAAGGAATTCTTCTGCACTGCTGGTGGGAGTGCAAACTGGTCCAACCACTATGGAGAGCTGTGTGGAGATTTCTGGACCTACTAAACATAGAGCTTCCATATGATCCAGCAATTCCACTCCTAGGTATTTACCCAAAGGACACAGAAACATCCATTCCAAAGAACACCTGCACCCCTATGTTTATAGCAGCACTATTTACAATAGCTAAGCTATTGTAAATACACTAAGCTAAGCTACAATACACTATTTACAATAGCTAAGCTTTGGAAACAACCCAAATGCCCAAAAATAGATGACTGGATCAAGAAGATGTGGTACATATATACCATGGAATATTACTCAGCATTTAAAAAAGATAAACACATGCAATTTGCAGCAACATGGATGGCGCTGGAAGGGATCATGCTCAGTGAAATAAGCCAGAAAGAAAAAGAAAAATACCGGATGGTCTCACTCATAGCAGGAATCTAGAAAACTTAAGTAAGAGACCAGGAAATTGAATAACTATAAGAAAGTGAAAATCAACAAAAATTATGAACCAGAGACACTTTTTTTTGTGGGGTGGGGGGAGGGAGGGGAGGGATTGGGGTCAGAATGGAGGGGTTGAAATTGTATGGGGAATATAAAAATAAAATTTATTATTAAAAAAATAAAAATAAAAATAAAAAGAAGTAGTGACAAGCCAGGGCTGAGAAAACTGTACACACACACACACAAAAAAAAAAAAAAAAAAGAATACGTGACCAGACTGCTTGCGGCCAGAGGTCAGCAGGACAGCCCCAGCCAGTCAATGAGTGGCCCTCCCTGGGCGGGGGGTAGGGGGGCAGCTGTTGAGCCTGGCAAACTAGCTGGCGTGCACCCCTTAGGTCCAGCTGTTTCTCCTCCCAGGAGGTGCCTCTTCATGGGGCTGGAGTTCAAAAAATAAATAAATAAATAAATAAATAAATCTTTTAAATAAATAAATAGATAAATAAATAGATAAATAAAAATAAAAGATGAAAATGGTCAGGATTAAGTCAATGTATCTAACACATCAGCAGTTCAATTTTTTTTCTACTACATTTTCTAAATCGATTGTGTATTTTATACTTATAAGTGCTTCTCAGTTCAGACAAGCCACATTTTAAGTGTTAATAGCCACAGGTGGTTATTAGTTATAATAATGGACAAGGAATGTTTAAAGCTCTTCTACCCCAGTGTGATCTATAAACCAGCACTATTGATATTTGGGAGCTTGTTGGAAAAGCAGGATTTTCATGCTTCCCCACCTAATCTGTTCAATCAAGTCCAAATGGGTAGCAAGAGTCCCCAGTGATTTGTGTGCATGTCAGAGTTTGAGAATCATGTCTTCTTGAACAGTGGCTGTCAGGACATGATCTTTGGACTAGGACCAGCAGCAGCAGCAGCACTTGGGAAATTCTTAGACTCAAACACAGACTTACTGAATTAGAAACTTTGGGGCCAGAAATCTATGTTCTAACAAGCTCTTCAGGTGATTCTCATGCACATTCAAATTTGACCACCTTCTGTGCTATGACAAATTTCTCTGCTGAAGATTCCATTGTAGTTTTCTTCCCATAGGCTTTATATTTTGAGATAGTAGTTTTCTAATAAATTCTACTGGGTAGAAAACCAATATAGTCCCCCAAATGTCATTATTCAGACATATATATGCATAAAATTGATAACAAAGGAAAACAGAAACCCACTAAGACATTATACACATAGATATATATATATATATGACATATATATGATACAAGGCTTATATATGTATATACTCAATATATACATATATAATTTGATTTAACATATATTAAAACAACTTTCAATAAGAATTCTTGACCATTATTTGTACCTTCCAATTCTCAGCCCTTGTATTAGATATTCTACACATATTTTCTCTGATTCTCCCATCCCTTTCCACTTGCCTGAAAAGAAGGCATTAATATCGATCTGTCTCAGATAATTATCCTGGTCTTCCAGAATCTGCATCTGGTTAGTGTGACAGAACCAAGAATCAAACCACCTTAATCTGCCCCCAAACCTGTATACACCACTTACCTCCTTGCCTTAGCATTATTCAAAGCAAGACATTTTTTTCTGAATTATAAAATGGTTTGTGTCTTTTTTACACATATGAAAAGATTAGTGGTTTCTTGAGAGGGTCAAATTTGGTATTTATTTTCTAAATTCAATCATTTTTGTTTCATCTATAACATTGATTCATAGATTGTGCCAAATGGCAGCAGCTTATAAATATGGGGAAATTATATTGTGATTTGAGTGTTAATTGATGCATTTGTAGCTGGTAGCATATGAACATCCTACTCTCTAAGCAGAGAATTATTGAAATGACATCTTGTCTTGCTTGAAAAACTATGGATAAAAATAGTCTAGGAAATTCAGCAACAAGATTAGTAATTAGAAAGTAGCTAAGAAGTAAAGGGTGGACTTAAAATGACTTCATGATAAACATTCCTATTTTGCTAGGTTTATTTTCTTCATGACAGGGTAATGGACCTCACAGAAAAGAGCAACAGCCAGTGAAGTGTCATCTTCAGCTAAGATGCTGGGCTGTATTGTGAAGAATGGAGGGCTCTACTCTGACTTAAGCTGGATTTTAGAAGTTGGAACATGGCCCAATAATATTTGTAGAATAGTTGGGGATCTATAATAAATATATATGACATGAGCAATCACATAGCACTTCAGGACAGAGACTGGATGAAGAGTTGGTTCTAGAAAATGGATACACTATAACCCAGAAAGCTGGTTCAAAGCATTGGTCAGCATCAAGGAGAGTTCAGGGGTGCATGTGTCCTGCATTTTGTGTAGATAAAATTAGCACCTATTTCAAGAAGTGCATACAAGGTCAGTGGTAAAGGGCTGGGAAGTTAGATCCTTTTGAGTTCCAAGTGTCAAAACGTGAATCTTTATTTATATTAAACTCTTCCAGTTGGTCCCTGTCACATCTTCTGTACAGGTTTCTAGATCCCTTGGAATGTTTGTGAGTCCCCAGGGAGCACCACAGTCCTCCTTGGCTCTGCAGTGATATGAGATTATTGGAAATACCTTTGTTAGACTCTCATTGGAGTTCTTTGTCTTGAAGTCTCATTATCATTTGGAAAGTTGATCCCAGCAGTGGCCTGGTCTGGAAAGAAGAATATTTATTCACAGTTATTGTGGAAAATTATGAGATTCTCAAGAGTTTTCATTCTGAAAAGAGAAAACCAATTATGGTGACCTATTACATTTTAAAAGCATTTAATTGGAATTGTTTCCTGATTTGTTAGCTAAGAAAGGGAGCCGTGGTTTATTAGAGCAGCCCTTCTGGTATTAATTTGCATTGTTTATGAAGGAATTAAACACTCCCATCCATCTGCAGTAGTTTGAAATTTTTTATTACTTATGCTGTGGGCCTAAATTCATTAGAATCTCTCCCCTTCTCTCTCATTTTTGACTTTATAATTGGTCCAGAAGTTCATTCTATATAGCTTCATTAATTTGAAATGATTACAGATAAACACTGTGAATGAGTGCGTGTTTTTAATTTTTAAATGCACATATTATATAACAGATCAAACCAGCCACAGATGCAATTTTCAAGCAGATACTTAGAAGCAGTTGTTGTTTTAATGAGCAAATAACTTACTTTTAACTAGCTTGTTTTCTCAGTGGCACTAAAAATGAGTTGGTACATAAAACCAGCTTAAAAATACGTTCTTAAAAATTCCTTTGCTAAAAAATTCTTTTGCAGCACTAAAAAGTATACTGTAATTCCATTCAAATTATAATATTACATTTTTATTGCTTAAAGTTAATAAGAATTTATTGTATATATTTTACTTTTCATTTATCTTTGGACAGGGGGAAAGAGCTCATTTTCCCAAAACCACTTTGGTCAACCATTTCTGTCATCTCCGCTCTGTCTATATAGCAGTGTGACTGTAACCTCAAAATGCTTCTTTTCTCATTATTTTTGATATGTTGCTAGTTAGTAAACTATCTTCTTAGCAATATGTATTTATTTAGTCTAAAACAAAAACTTGAAATTTCTTTTCATCAGTAACATGTCTACATTACTCTGGTATTACAAAGGTATACCTACTTGTTTTGTGATCCAATTAATATGTTATTTTAAAAGTTTTTATTAACTTATCCATCATAATGAGATGGATAAGTAAACCTCTTTAAAATTATTAAAAATTCAGCTATTCTTAATTAAGGATTGCATAGTATCATTTGGTGTTTGTTTTTGTAAATGTTGGAGACTCTGGTTCCATACACTTGGAATTATGCCATAGCATGTACATCTTGAAAATGCTTTCTCAATACATGCTGCTGTATTTCCCAGTATATTTCTTGTAAAAATCCATGTTAAAATTTTTAATTAATTTTCCACTATAAAACATAACTTTTACTGCAGAAGTTGTCCTCTTGCATAAAGAAAGTGAAAGCAGTTTGTGCTAGAAATATTGTTGCATGCTGGTAAATATAGTTCAGATCATGATCTCTTAATTATTTATCTAAATAGGATGCTAAGCCCTGTTCTTGTTCCCTCTCAAAAATATTTTGCTTCTATGAAAGGAATGTAAGAGAAGAGTAAAATGAGAAGGGGAAGATATTTCAATTAAGAAAGATCTTTCACCCTTATTATATGCTTCCTTATGGTTTTTACTCCTCTTTATGGAAAATCCCTTTGTAGGATGATGATTTTTCTGTTAAGGCTGGGTTGATACTAGCAAGTGAAAAACAACCAGTCATTTGGTCTGTGGGAGGATATAAATATAATTTAAATTTTATTGAGAGCAGCACAAAATCCCAAATAGAAAAGTGTCTTCAAAGATTAACACATCAACATATAAATACTTGCAAATTGATCTTGTGTAAGCCAAGTATAGAAGTGCTATGTTGTGGAAGAAATTTGGGACTCAAATGAGATAACTTAGGCAGAACTTCTCAAAAGGAGTGGAATGACGGTTTTGAAGATTCCTGAGGAGTAAAGGGGCAGGAGAAGCACCTTTCTATCCACACCTATCATAAACCCATCTATCAGATAGAGTTATTCAACATTTACGGAATGCTTGAGTTGTTTCTCCATATAGAAACAAACAAAAGCATTTAAATGTTGGGGTCTTGCCTTTCTCTTCTAGTCTTTCTCTTTCTCTTTCCTCTGTCTTTCTTGTCCATGAATTTCCTTTTCAAATGAATTATTCATGTTCTAATAATTGACATGTCTCAATGATTGAAGATATCAATGAATTTGTAGAATAGACATGTCTCAAGAATGATACTAAAGTTCTAAAACTTACAGGAAAAATTTGATAGAACCCTATAGGGATGTATATGGCTTCACTTGCATAAAGTATAGACACTCTTACTTACACAGTTAGTCTGAACACTACTTTTCCCATATTCACTTAAGATTTTGACATAAGTGAAGTTATGGGAAATTGTACTTCCAAGAGCAGATGACTTGTCTTTACTTTCTACAGTCACACTTAAATTTCTTTTTTTTCTGTTTTCATGCACATGGTAGAATGTTTGGGTAATAAGCTTTTTACCTCCTTTATCCAAAAGCACCTTCCCTCTCTCCCTCTCTTTAAAGATAATGCCCTTTACGATCACTACATCTGTATATATATGATCTCTTAAATTGGCTAACTGAAATATCTCAGACTTTGCCAACATCACCTTTGATGTTGGCAAATAAATAAAGTATATCTAGAAAGCTACCTCTAGATAGCTTATCCACAGATATTGGTGTATATATATGTGTGTGTGTATACATACATACCTACATATATTTTATATACACATATTACACATATACACATATATATATTTATATATATATATATATATATATATATATAGAGAGAGAGAGAGAGAGATGTTTTAGGCATGGAGGTAAAGAAGAAGAGAATTAAACTTCATTGGTTGAGAAAGCAAGGAGAGTGGACTTGGTCAAAGTCCATTTGTCCATCTAAGTGTGATCCATTTATTGTTGCTAATTGTGAGCATCTATCAGCTGCAGCTCATGTAGGGTTTGTGACCCTCTCATGGGTGAACATCTCATGGGGACTGTATGCCTATAGATCCAGTTTGAACCTGTCTGATTCAGAGTCTACTCCCTTCTTCTGCAACAGCCATATCAATAAGTTATAAAGAGATAGCTGAAGAAGGCACAGGTTGGGGAAAAGTTAGTCATTAAAATAATGGACCAAGGGAATTTATGGCAGTAGATGTCCTGACCTTGTTTAAATTCTTGTTTACCAATCCATGAGAATAGCAAAGTCCAATACATGAGTCTTGTCCTATCCTTGTCCCAGGAACGTTTCTGTCTCAAGATGATATTGATTATTGCTAACATAATTTTTTTTGGCATTTATTAGATTTCATTTCTTTGTCTAGACAGATATACAGAACATAAATGGGTGACCCTGTTACTCCTAATTCATCTTGCCAACTAGGAGGTTAGTGTCTCTGCCATGTTACCATCCCTTCCTTCTTCAAATATATTTCTATCCTAAAAATTATATATATGATATACATATGCTTTATAATTCTAGTAATACTTAAGTAGTTCATTCTTTCTAATTTAGCAGAGACATATTTCACAAGGTCTATTATTTTAAGTGAGGCAGAGAAAAGTTCCTGCTAGCTTTTTAGTACTATGATCTTGATGCCCAAAGAGAACCAATACAGTAACATTCTATATACTTAATTGTTAGAGTCTCATCTCTGCAAAAATATTTGAATATATTAAAGTTGTCTACTGGACCTAGAAAAAGAAATAACTAAACCCAAAAAATAAGTACAATCACTAGATCCTTGGGGTTTGGGGCAACACAAAATTCTTTGCATTTTAGCTTTCTCAATTACAAACTAACAATAATTGTATTGACCTGCTTCCGGGATAATGGTTGTATTCATTGTATAGAGGCTTTCAAACATTAGTTTTCATACATTAGTGCTCTGCCAGGGGAAAATGATTGATGGTATATAACAAAGAAAAGGCACTTTAGCAATGACAACAAAAGCATCCAGTTCATTCAGAAGAGAATGAAATGCTCCTTCCTATAGAAAAAATAAAAGCCAAATGTTCCTGCTTTTGGTATTCCCTCTGCTTTCATTCAGCAATGTCAATCTTTAAAAATTTTAATTAGAAATTTAATTTTGTACAAAGTTGACTGGGGAATTTAACTTGTTTGTTGTCTTCATCTTATTGACTGAGTTCTCCATCTATATGTGTTTTAAATTACATATAATGTTTTATAATTATGATATACACATATATTTAAATTATACCAAATATGTATTTCTTGATAGACAAGAACTAGCATTTGAAGCATAATGATGACAATCTCTGTTAATGAGTTTGAGCAACTGTGTTTGTCATCTTGAGATGTTTGACTTGCAACCATCCAGGATATAAACCCGAGTAGCAATGGGTCTTCCCTCTTTGCTGTGGCAGCTCTGACTCTCCATGTCATTGTGCCACAGTGTTCTGCATCTTGATTAAGAAATCATCAAGGTTTCCAAATTTGTTTCCGATAGCCCTTGGGAGGAATTTATAATGTCACTTTCTAGATGTGTATTACTTTTAGAAAAGTTCTTATCAATAAAGTTATCAAAGAGAATGGAGAAAGGCAAACAGAGAGGAAGGGATAGACGGAGGGTGTACTCTTCCTAAAACTCAGCTGCTTGACTGTGCATGCATAACCTCTATCTACAGTATTCACAACCATGTCACTTTGTAACCAGAAAATGCCAGGTCCGGCTGCCTGTTGCTGCTAGAAGCCAAATGAACAGACACAGGAATTGTATCTACAACATGCACTTTAATGCATGAAAGCTGGCGATCTGAGAGAACATCTCATCACAAGATGTCCTGTTTCTAGTGAATTAAACAAACACAATTAATCATAAGTCAACCTCCCCCCACAGCAGCCTATCACATGGTGCCCTGGGCTTCATCATGTCCCCAGAGTTTGTTGTCACCTCTTTGGTCATTTTGACTCAGGTAGATCCTGTTTCTTGGGCCTGGAAAAACATCCTGTTTTCCTGGTAGTCAATGTCCGACACTGCAGGCATCACTGGGGCAGGACTTTCAGATCAAAACAAAAGTTTTTATTGAAGGAAGACATA